TGGTAGGAAATAACAAGGTCTTTGGGACTTCAGTAGGGCAGTTTCCTGAAGCGTAAGCTTCCTCCATATCTCTTTCTGTCTCTTTGAGATATGCTCTTGCCATGCGCCAAGGCTGGACTGGAACTCATTTTGTAGCCTAGGCTGGCCTTCAATTTGCTGTGCTTCTGCTGTAACCTCTGGAGTGCTGGGACAGTATGACACCATGCCTTGCCTTTTCCTTTCTTTGCCTTGGTTTGAAGGTTCATTTCTTTTTATTTGAATACCATCAGTTCACCTTTCCAAACACCCAGTGAAGGGTATCTTAGTTTCTTCCAAGTTTTGGCAATTTTGAAGGAAGCTCTTAGGAACGTTTGTGTGCTATAGTCTGTGTGGATAGTTTTCCAAAGGACATGATTGCTGGATTACATAATAAGGGTATGTTTAGCCTTCTAAAGAAGGAATAAAAAAAAGAAAATAAACAAAGAAAAATAAAAATAAAACAAAGAAAATAAAAATAAAAATGGGTAGAGTGTCTTTCAAAGTGGCTGTACCATCCTAGGATTCAGATCCTAGCATCCGCACAGTGGCTCACAAACATTTGTAACTTCAGATCCAAAGAATGTGACACCTTCTTCTGACCTCCACAAGCATGAGGTATAAACATATAAAAAATGTGATAAAAATGTAAAAATAAGCTGGATGATGGTGGCATACATCTTTAATCCCAGCACTACCTACCAGGAGTTACAATTTCTCTCTTTCCTTTTTTTTTTTTTTTAGAAGGGTCACACTATGTAGCCTTGGCTGTCTTGGAACTCTCTATGTAGACCAGGCTGGCCTGGAACTCACAGAGATCTACCTGTCTCTGCCTCCCAAGTACTGGGTTTTTGTCATTCAGATAGATGTGCAGTGATATCTTTTTCATCTGACACAGGATGTAGAATGTCTTTTCATATAATTATTTCTGTACAGCTTGTTAGGTGAGGTCTTCGTTGAAACCTTTGTTACAATTTTGTTTTTCAAGACAGGGTTTCTCTGTGTAGCCTTGGCTGTCCTGGAACCAGGCTGGCCTCGAATTCATAATAGAGATTTGCCTGCCTCTGTCTCCCACATGCTGGGATTAAAGGTGTGCACCACCACCATCCAGCTTATTTTTATATTTTTATCACATTTTTATATGTTTATACCCCATGCTTGTGAAGATCAGAAGAGAGTGTCACATTCTTTAGATCTGGAGTTACAAATGTTTGTGAGCGATTGTGTGGATGCTAGTATATGAATCCTAGGTCCTCTGTGAAGGCAACATTTGATCTTAACCACTGAGTATCTCTAGCCCACTTTGTTCCATTTTTAAATCTTTTTAAAATTTTTTCTATTTCGAGACAGGATTTCTCTGTGTAGCCTTACTTGTCCTAGAACTTACTCTATAGAGCAGGCTGTCCTCAAACTCACAGAGATCGACCTGCCTCTGCCTCCTGAATGTGAGAGTCTGCATCACCAGCACGTTGCCCAAACTTTCCTATGAAAGCCTATAGGGGTCACTTCTCATTTGAGCCACCATGGCATTGTTGAAAAATTGGAATATGCTGGGCAAGGTGACACAGGCCTTTAATTCCAGTATTCAGAAGACAGAGACAGATATAGCCTTGTGAGTTCCAGGCCAGCCTGGTCTACATAGTGAGTTCCAGAATAGCCAGGGCTATGTAGAGAGATCCTGTCTCAAAACAAACCAAAACCAAAAACCAAAAACAACCCCCCTCAAAACCCAATGAAAGAAAAAATAGGAATAAATGTGACACTACTTAGCATAGAACTTGACACATACTGTATGCTTTACAACATTATAAATGATTAATTCAGGTAACACTAGCTGAATTTACAGCCTTTGTATTCAACTGTGTACGTTCAGACTTCACAGAAGCCTATGCATATCTCTTATCAGCCCTGCCCAGCTGTATGTTTTCCATTGCCCAAAGGAAAGAGAGGAAAGATGTATTGTAAGCCGGGAGGAAACGGTGCTGGAAAGGCAGCAGGGACAGTAAATGGCCTTTGACTGACACCAAAGTTTGAGCTGTATTCTGTAAGCAGAATGGTGACACTAGAATTAATCAAGATAACACCAGTTTCTGTTATAGCATATGGAAGGAACAAAGGGCCAGAGCCACCGGGAGCAGCAATTATATGCCAAGGCTTTTCGGTTCTATGACTCGATACCAAACACCATAATAATGAGGCACCTGGTGCTAAAACCTTCTGGGGGAGATTATAGAGGGGTCAAGGGGATGTGAATCAGCTGGCCCTGAGGCTCACACATGTATAGTCTGCTATGACAGTCCCCTGTGCCACAAAACACACATGTGCCTCTCGGCCTCCTTTTGATTTTTTTTTAAATGTTTTTATCCTTTCGTCTTATAGTTGTCAATTTATGATAAACCAAGAGAGTTAAGTTTTAGATATTTTGATGTCAATACTGCCAACTAAGACTGGCATTGTGGCACAAGTCCATAATCCCAGCCCTTGGGAGATTAGAGTAGAATGACCACCAGGCCAGATCCAGGCCAGCACCAGGTTGTGTAGCAAGACCCTGCCTAAAAAGGAAAGGAAAGAAACCTAACAACCACTGCCACTACCATGATAAAGTGCTGCCAGACATTAAAGCAGAACTGTTGAAATAAGAATTAAAAATTCAGACTCAGATATAAGTAATCAAATTTCAGTACCTAGTGTTCACTTTGGAAGGACTGAAAAAGCTTATGAAGGCTAGGGGCAGACTTTCCGAGAAGTAAAACCATGAGAGGTGAGAGAAGGTGGGTATTGATTCTCACATATGCTGGAGAGAAATCTGGGGAAGGTTAGGAAAGCCAGGGGTCTTGGATTTAGTAATGTGGTCATTACTGAAGTTGTAAGCTGCTCTGAGAGAGGGGATCTAATTGTGTCTCAAAAGGATTGGTGGAAAGACAAGGGGATGAAGTGACAGCTGAAGACAACAGAGCAGTGGGTTGCAGAGCATCTCATTATAGTCTTCAACCAAACACAGGACAACAGAAGACAGACCTGTAACAACAGAAGAAACCAGAAACTCTCTAAGGTGATCAGATTGATTATGTAATTACTATAATTTTCATTAGCCTTGTTGCTAATATAACCCGAAAGGCTCTCTGTGATCCCCGTTTTTATTCTTTCTTCCCTGCATTCAAAGCTACTTTTTCTAAAAGCCTCCTGCCTTTTTTTTTCCTGTTACAATTTGCTGTTACTTTGGGGTACCAATTGCTGTACCTTCTCACATAGACTTTAAATTCTCCATAAATTACTTCCACGTACTCAAGGTTGGTGTTAACAGTTCCTTTCTCTGATCCCCACTGCACTTGTACTTTATCTTTCATTTCTATCACCTGTCTCCTTGTTGGGTAACTGACCTGTATGCTATAAATGCTAAAAACCAAGTAAGTTTGTAAGGCTTTATGTCACCCAATGTTTTTTTAAAAATGTGTACGATGTAATGCATTAAACACTTATTTTTGTAATGTAATACTCCCTTCTGTGATGTCACTAAGACATGGTGAACTGATGTGTGGCCCACATTTTGTAATCCTAGTACTCTGGAGGATAAGGAAGGGGATCCATAATTTGGGGCCTGATTGGGTTACCAAGGGAATTAAAAACAAAAAACCCAATCCAAACCAAGAAAACAAAACAGAACAAAAAAATCAACCCCCCCCCAACAAAAATCTTTCAAATTAGAAAACTAAAGCATATATAATTTTTTAAAAGCTCTAATCTTTCAGGACCATCAGGGCCACACAGTAAAACCCTGGAACGGGGTTCGAGGATATAATGTTATTTAGTGTAATTCTCTATTTGATTCCTAAGTAGAGTGGGCTCCTTTACTTTGTTTCCTTCAGTTAAAGCAGTTATCTTTTCTGGCTAAAGTATTAAGAAGCAAGGAAAACCTTTTAAAAACTAAATAACTGACCTTAAACCAATTAAAGTTTCATAGCAGTGCAAGAATCCAAGTTTTAATCTTTTTTTTTTTTTTTTTTTTAGGACTTTTGGCTTTCCAGAGAGAGTGCAGGAGAGAACCACCCTAGCACCTGGTTCAGGTTGATTACAACCAACCCGGGACAATTTAGCATAAAAGGCTCATTTTGTATGAACACTTGTGGAAAGAAAGTAATGGTGATAAGGATAAAAACCTTTCAGGAAAATCCCGCCAATTTGCATTGTTCTTTGGGGAATAGGCTTTCAAAAGCCAAGGAACAAAAGAGGATTTGCTTTTCCAATCCCCTGAAGCGGCTACAGTGAGAACCAAAGCTCTTTATAAACTGGGAGAGGGGCGGGGGAGGGGCTGAAGTCTAGCGGAGAAGGAGCACGCGCGGGGGCTCCAAGACTTATTTGCCTATGAATCCGGTTCTGAAATATCTGTAATCAAAGACACTCAACAGCATCAGAACAGACCTACATTCTTCCCACCCAGGTGGAGATAAAATGGGGATGGATGGAAGGAGGCAGAGCTTGTGCAGGCGCAGGGCTCTGGGGAAGAGTCCGCCACCTGTGCCGAGCTCGGGCGGACTCTCCTTAGGGACCCAGGCATCCGCCGCCGTCCTAGGGGGCTTCCTCAGCCGGCCTGGAAGCCAGCTCACAGAGCAGGAACGGGTTGTCATCCCCGGAAGGCAGGGAAAGGGGCCCGAAGCTGGAAATTTGCACGGCAGTCGGGTCTGAACCAAGGAGATGGCAGGGGGAAAGAGGCGCGGAGGCACGGGCCGGGGCAAACGCGCCTCCGACCTACTCGAGCGGCCTGCGCACGCGCGCTCCAGCCCTGGCGCATGCGCAGACCAGCCCGCCCGGCGCGAGCGCGCGCGCGACTTCGGGCCTGCCCTCCCAGCGCGAGCCCGCGTTCTCTGAGGACGCGCGTATCCTGGAGCTGCTGCTCGGGCGACCGGCGGGACGCTGGGGACGCGGAGGCGAGGGGCGGGCCTGCCGGGGCGGGGCCGGGGAGGCGGAGAAAGTCGCTGTCGCCCCGAGTCCAGCCGCGAGTGCCCAGGCCTCGGAAGTGGCCGTTGTAAACTTCACCTCGTAGACTTTCTCCATCCTGGTCCTAGAGTCCACCGGCTTTCCACAGGTGTCAGTCTGGCTCCTGAGGGTTGCCTGGCCTTCCACCCCGAGACCTGAAGCTGCCCGGGGGTCGTGGGTGTGCAGGTTGGACCACGCGAGTCCGAGGTAACCGCGGGCCGTGGGTGCGTGGAGACGAGCGCCCGGGGTCGGGAGGTGCTGAGGAGACGGGGCTTGCAGTGAGGACCGGGCTTCGGGCAGCTCGCTGGTGCAGACACGCCTCCAGCTCTGGCGGCTGAGCATCCTAGGAGCTAACCGGAGGACCACTGGGGACTGGAGTCCTCGAGCTCTTCGAGATCAGTACCCAAAGATCACGACTTTTTCGTGTTTTACTTCCCTTTCGTTTAAATGCTAGCCACACATTAGGCAGCCTACAAACATTTGGTAATCAGAACAACGAGTTATGTCCGATTGCTTTCTGCAACTTACGCCTACCCACCAGGACGCTTAGAAAAGTCAGCTGTGAGTTTTTAAAGCTGAATTTTGTGTACAAGCGCCTTAAAAAAACTGTTTAATCCCTTACGATATTCATGTTAGGAAAATACATAGCTTTTATTAGAGTCGATATCAGTTTCTAAGGCTTTACACATCAATGTTTTATACTTCTCATGATAGTAGAGAAAAAAAGCTACCGTTTTGTTATTTGCATTTAACAGTGCTTAGTAACCAGCAACCAGCGGTAGAGCCAGAAAAGAACGTGCTTTCAAGTGAAAGGCAGAGGGCTGCAGCCAGGGCAACCCGATCCTTGGAAAAGTGAAGGCAGTTGTCTTAGCCTGGAGCTTTCTGTGTAAATCCTGGCTCAACCGTTATTAGCTATGCCGGACAAATCACCCAACTCCTGACCTGAAGGTTCTTTATGTCGGATAAGCAGAATGGGCTTGGTCTTTAAAGTTCCATTTAACTTTTGTTTCAGTTCCTTTCTCTTGGTCTTGTTTTACGGAAAGACTTCCTTCAGCTCTCTTCTCTTTTCAGGGGTGGGGTGAAAGGTGGCTGAGACTGAACAAGGATCATAGGCATGAAGAAAGTGTTTTGCTATTGAGCTGCACTTCAGCTCTCAAGTACCCCCTTACCAACTGAAAAGTGTAACTGCTGACACTCCTATACAGGTGTGACTAATAAACACAAAACTGCATGGAGGGCGGGGGGGGGGTGGGCTTGCTATTGGGGAATCCAAGCCCTTTACCCTAGAGTTGAAAAAGGCAGGATGACTTAAGAACAAGTAGTAGACCAAGGAAACAATATTATTTGATTAGATACCCATACTGAGAAGATAGTGGAATAGTGTCATGGACACAGGTTCCTTTTATCTTTAATCAAGAGTGAAAAGGCAGAGGGGCTGGCTTAAATACTTGATTACACCTGGTGAGTTCATCAGTTTGAAGGAGGAGGAAGGAGAGAGAAGGCTGTGTGGCATAGGCTTTTCCAGATAAACAAAATACCACTGGGCTGTTTTCTTTGTACAGATCATTAGAAGTCAAGGCGTGAGTATGAGTTTTAATTCTTCTAGTGGATGTCTTGGTACAAGTCACTCAAACTTTGGAAAACTCAGTTTTATTGTCTGTGAAATGTGCAAATAGTTTCTCAAGATTAAAGAGAGGATGAGGTCAAGAACGATTAGCGGTGTAAGTGGCTCATGCTGACTTTTCACCCACCCGTGCTTTTCCCTTTTATCTGGGAAGACTGGTTGAAAGGTAGGTACATTATGGAGGAACAAGTAAAAGGTTTAAATGGGAGGTAGGAAAACTTGTGCTGAAATGGCCGAGGAGTGAGAAACGACTGGGGTTAATAATTGGTAAGTACCAACTTTGCTTTTGTAAAATTTGGGGTAATTTTTTTTCTTTAAGGAACTTTTTCTTGAAGTACAGTCTAATTGTTTTGTAATCTTTCTTGAATTGTCTTTATTTTGTGGTGCTGGGAATTGCACTTAGATTTTCTATTCAGGGACTTGTATTATCCTTAGCTCGCTCTATCTATCTATCTATCTATCTATCTATCTATCTATCCATCCATCCATCTATCTTCCTCCCTTTCTCCCTTTCTTTTTTTCATGTTATCCCTAACTGATTATTCTTCCTCTCTTTTAGATTTATTTTTATTTTGTGTATGTGGTGTTTTGCCTACATGTCTGTACAGCATGTGTAGGCAATACAGTACCCTCAGAGGCCAGAAGAGGGCTTTGGGTCTTCTGAACTGGATTTACAGATGTTTGTAAGATGCCATGTGGGTGCTGGAATTTGAACTTGGTTCTCTGGAAGCAGCCAGCACTCCTTAATGGCTTAACCATTTCTCTGGCCTCCTCTTTACAAAAGTATAATTTTACTTATTGTTATTGTGTGTGAGTGCATGTACATATTTGTGGAGCTGGTTTTCCCTCCTACCTTTATGTGGAATCTAGTGCTAGAACACATCATTAGGCTCATGTAGTAAGCACCTTTATCTGATGAGCTATCTTGTAGGCCCTCTTCTTGGTTATTATTAAAAACAATACAACATAAACTGATTTCATTATTATCATTTATGTGTATTTCTCTTTTGGGGCATTTTTGTCATATTAGCTTTTATGTTCCTTTCAATTTAATTTTCATGACTTTTATTTTTAGTTCTGATTCTTGTCACCACACCACTTAAATGTTTCCCTCTGTGAGACAGTGTCTTGCCATGTAGCCCTGAGTGGCCTGGACCTCACTGTGTAGACAAGGCTGGCCTAAAATTCACAGAGATCTACTTGTCTCTGTCTTTCAGGTGCTGGGATTAAAGCCTGTGCCACCATGTTCAGCCTTATTTCACTTTTGAGGCTTTATTTTTCTTCACCTCTTCTTTTCCTTTCCTTTCTTTCCTGACAGGGGCTCACTGTGTATCTCTGGCTTGCTTGGAACTTGCTGGGTAGACCAAGATGGCCTAGAACTCACAGAGATCCCCAGAAATCCACCTGTCTCTCCTTCCAATTTCTGGGAGTAAAGGTATGTGCCACAACGTCTGTCATTTTGAGAGTGTCTCCGTCTCTCTGTGTCTCTGTCTTCTGCCCCCCCCCCTTAAACCAAGGCAAGGTTTCTCTGTATAGCCCTGGCTGTCCTGGAACTCTCTCTATAGAACATGCTGGACTCAAACTCTGAGATCTGCTTGCTTCTGCCTTCTGTCTCTTGAGAGCTGGGATTAAAAGCATTGTAGCACCATACCCCTTGTCTCTTTCTTGTCTTTGCCTTTTCCTGATGTTTTCAAGTTATTTTGAAGTAATTATATTTTCATTAGTCTTGTGGGTATATCTTTCATACTTTTCATTTATGTAGGGTATTGTTTTTTTCTATACTCTCTGACCTCCTGCCCTTTTGCTTGCTTGCTTATTTATCTATTTATCTATTTATCTGTTTGTTTATTTATTTATTTATTTATTTATTTATTTATTTGTTGTGAGGCAGGGTTTCTCTGTGTAGCCTTGGCTGTCTTGGAACTCACTCTGTAGACCTGGCTGGCCTCGAATTCAGAGATTCACCTGCTTCTGCCTCTCTTGTGCTGAGATTAAAGGCGTACCCCAACACTGCCTGACTCTTGCTTATTTTTATGGTAGATAGATAGACCTACAACTTGAGAGTGAGGCAAGGCTCAGGTAAGCTTCTCTAACTTCATAAAACAACTTTATAAAGTTGTTTCTAATTGTGTATTAATGCTGTGGGAGCTTGCTTTTGAGATCTTTCTGTTTCCTCCTCGAGTTTAGTTGGAACATCATCTTCTGCTCTGCTTAAATTTTAGCCACAGAAGTTTTTCTTCAGTCTAGGAAGAACCTTAAGAGGACTGTTTTGAGAATTCATCAGGCTGAGCCAGCTCTTTCATGATTGCTCTGTGATGTGTGTTTCAAGTGCCCACTGTTAGAATGGGCAAAGTTTTGATCTGCTGCTCTCAAATTGGCCTTTAATAAATACCTGTTTTCTCCCCAAGGTTCTGTCAGATACAACCTTGTCCCTTTGTGTTCTCTCACTGCTTCTCTGTAGCTTTCTTGGCTGATGGTGTTTCACTAAGCGTTATCTATGGTGTTATCTAACTAGTTGCCTTATTTATTTATTTGTTTGTTTGTTTATTTAAGTTTTGCCAGACAGGGTTTTTCTGTGTAGCCATGGCTGTCCTGAAACTCACTCTAGATCAGGCTGTCCTCGCTGCCTCCCTAGTGCTGAGATTAAAGGTGTGTGCCACCACTGCCTACCTAGTTGCCTTCGTCTTACGGATTCCCTTATTTAAATTAATAAGGAAATTATGTTATAGAAAAACAAAACAAAAAGTCAGGTTTGGCAACTCCCAGCACCTGAGAAGTGGGGGCAGGAAGATCAGTAGTTGAAGGCCGGTCTTGGCTACATAGCAAATTCAAGCCCAACCTGAGCTTCATGAGATTTTGTCTCAAAAAATAAATAAATCAACCAACCAGCTAGGTGTGGTGACTTATACTTCTAATCCTAGTGTTCAGAGGCAGGAGCAGGCAGATATTGGAGTGTGAGGCCAGCCTGCTCTACATATTGAGTTCTAGACCAACTAGGGCTACACAGTGAGAGCCTATCTCAAAAACAAACAAAACAAAAAACAAAACAAAACAAAATAAAGTCAGTCAACAAGCCAACCAAACCTCCCCAAACCAAAAACAAAAATAAAAACAAAAACCAAGGAAAAACAAACCAAAAGTCTTAAATCAAGATGCTTGAAGCCAGAGGTGCTTTGAAAATCCATTCTTCTATTGTACTCTTGTGCTATTCAGCTTTAAAAACTTTTACCCTTGTATGAGTATTTTTCAAACCATCAATATTAATTTTATACTGTTGTATAGCAAGTTACCACAAACTTAGTGTTTCAAAACTTTGCAGACTTTGAACATAAATGTCCTGGCTTTTAAGACTGCATTTTGCTGTGTAGCCCATGATGGCCTAGAATTTGGGAACCTCCTGCTTTAGTCTCCCAAGTGTGGGGATTACAGGTACCCCCCACCACAGCTGGCCAACAGCATGCTTCCATTATCTGAGTCTGTATGGTTTACTAGTCCTGGTGCAATGTAGCTAGGCACTCTGCTTGGGACTTACAAGGTGTTTTTTCTTTTCTTTTTAAAAAATTTATTTTATGTGCGTTAGTGTGAAGGTGTCAGATCCCTTGGAATTGGGGGCATAGATAGTTGTTAGCTGCCATGTGGGTGCTGGGAATTGAACCCGGGTCCTTTGGAAGAACAGACAGTGCTCTTAACCACTGAGCCATCTCTCCAGCCCCACAAGGTGTTTTCAAGATGCTGAAAAGGTGTTTTCAAGGGCTGTATTTTTACCTGTAGCAGACTGGGAGACTCTGACCCTTACTCAGGTCCTTTTTTCTTGCCTGCTTGAGAGATCTAGTTGTATGTTAGCTGCTGGATGTAGGCCATGTGGTTGCTTGCATTTCCCTGTGGCTCTCCCTTTAGGTAGTTCATAGCATGGTGATTTTCTTCTTTAAGGATGGTAAACTTTTTGCTTTTTGTGTGCTGGGGTTTGAAGACAGGGTTCTTCTGCACGTATCCTGCAAGTGCTGTGCCATGAACTGTACACCCACAAGCAAGTCTTACAATTATAGCAGTGTCACCCTGTCCTCTTTGCCACAGAAGCAAGTCACTGGTTGTTTCTTGTTGGGTGCAGGACATAAGAAAATCTGTAACCCTCTCCACTGGGTGAGGTGGGGACCATCTGTTCACCCTGTGATCCGTGTGGATGAGCTGATCTGGAGAGTGGAGCTACGCTCTGTGGGGCTCTAGAGAAGCCTATGTCTGGTAGACTGTAGATTTGAATATGTTAGGTATCTGAATACACTGAAAAAATGAGTTCTTTCAATCTGCTTTTATTCAAACAAGCTCAATAAATTTGATAAATTATTTCTTCCCAAGACAAAGAAACATAAACAAAAATGAACATTTTTAAGGTTTTACTATTTAAAACATTTCTAGCCAGTTGTGGTGGCGCACACCGGTAGGATTTGCTGAAGGAGGCAGAGGCAGGAGGATCACGAGTTCGAGGCCAGCCTCAGCCACCCCAGATGAGACCTAATTGACTAGGATCAGAAGGAAGGAAATGAAGACCTCCCCTATCAGTGGACTTGGGGAAAGGCATGCATGCAGAGGGTGGAGGGGGAAGAGAACCACAGGGGGATACAAAGTGAATAAAGTGTAATTAATAAAGAATTAAAAAAAAGAAAAAAGAAAAAAAATTTCTAGGGGCTGGAGAGATGGCTCAGGGTTTGAGAGCATTCAGTGCTCTTCTGGACCACTTGAGTTTAGTTCTCAGCACCGAAATGATGGCTCACAACCATATTAAATTCTAGGTCCAGGAGATTTGACTTCCTCTGTTGACCTCTGAGGATACCATGTCATGCACTGACATACATGCAAGCAAATCACCACATTGTACACATTTCAATGAATAAATAAAAATTAAAAAATTAAAGTTACTTAAAAAATTTTTTTTTATTTTTAAAATTTATTCCCTTTGTATCCCGGCTCTGTTCCTCCCCCTCCCCCCCCATCTCCTCCCAATCTCTCCCTCCCTTAAAGTTCTTTTTTTTTTTTTTTTGGGTGTGTGATGGTGAGGATCAAGTTCAGAATCTCCATGCTTGTTAAGTGGGTGCCCTACCATTGTCTTGCATCTCAAGTCCTTCTAAAATTCTTTTCCCAGAGGGATTTTTAAAGTTGTTGTTATTATTATTATTATCAGTTTATCCAATTTGTATCCTAGCTGTGTCCCCCTCCCAATCCCAGAGGGATATTTTTATGTCTTTGGAGTACATCTATACACATGCATGTGTGGAGATTGTGCACGTATGTATTGCCTTCTTGCTCCCTCCCCTCGCAATAGAAACCTTTGCTGGGTTGGAGAGATGGCTCAGGGACTAAGAGCACATGTTACTCTTGCAGAGAACCCAGGTTCAAGTCCCAGCATCCACTTGATGCCCAGAAGTGTTTATTACTCCAGTCCCAGGAAATTTCACACTCTTGACCTCCACGGACACCAGGCAGGCACATGGTGCACATATTTTACCCTTAGACAAAACACTCATATAATATAAAATGATAGAACTTAAAAACAAAAGAAAACAAAATCCTTTGCTATGTGTGCTAGGGATCCCTGGACATGAAGTACAGAAGAGTCTGTTTCTGCTAGATTCCAACTCTTCTTCCAAATGAAGGTGGCTTGTTTGGAGTCTGATCTTTGGGAGCATCCTGGTTGTGTGAAAAGATTTTGGAACTCATAATCCCCCCAACAAACAAATAAACAAAAAACCCCAACCAACCAAAAAACCAACCAACCAAACCAAATCCCCCCAAACCAAACCAACATCCCCAAAACATGGCTGAGTGCTGGTGTTCTCCTCCCCGCATTCCCCTAATGGATGACTGGTCTTGAGGAAGTTGGTTAGCTTCTCTGCCCCAGCTTACTTTCTTTCATGGAAGCAAGGGTAGCAAAGGCAGGTAAGGTCATGAGCAGCTGCACCTTCTGAGTAATCTCTGACCTTGCAGCAAGAGCTTGGGCTTTGGCATCTTAGTTAGGATTGGGCATTTTGTCATTTAACTCCTTTGTTCAGGATATTTCTACTCTCTGTGTCCTCACTCTGTCCATTGAACAGGGGAGTTCTGGATGCTGCAGTGGGCTCTCAGTAGGTGAGTGACAGTGCTTGTCACCACTCTTAAATTTAGGTTTTTAGGTCACTGGAGAAATTAGAATTTTCTTTTCTGGACTTGGCTAAAATTCCATCCTGTTTTCCATGAACCACATTATTCTTTCAGCTGTGTGAGTCACTGTGTGGTGGAAACAGTATTTTTCAGCACTGGGGTTTTGTTTTGGCCTTTATCTGAGTAGCTTGCTTTTGTGGTCTCTTCTGGGGCCTGGTTAGTGAGGCAAAGGCAGAACATGTTGCTATCTCTTCTCCTTCTGTTTTGGGTACCTTTGTCACTCACCTTATCACTAAAGGATTATTTTATTACATAGTTTTCCCAGACCAAATTACCCAGTCATTTCCCTTTATTGGGGATCATTAAGTTTTTCAGAGTTCGGAGACTCAGTAATAAAAAACTGATAGTGGCAGGCAGAGTCCTGATTGTGCTGTCTGTAGGATTTAGAAGGCAGGAGTTGCTGCCGTTAACTCTCTTGTGGGCAGAGGAAGGATGTTCAAAGATTTGAAATGCCTTGCCTAAGGCCGTATATGTAAGATGTTGGTGGGACCCTGCTTCAGGTAGTGCTAGTGGTAACTTACTCCTCTAGGTGAAGATAGTGGTGTAGCTTTTTCCCTAGGACTTACTGGATTTTATTTTTTTTAGCATTTACAGGGAGGTTTTTTTGTTTTAATTTTGTAAAAATTATTTAATTTTTAAAGTTTTATGTATACTTAGTGTGAAGGTGTCAGATCCCTTGAAATTGGCATTACAGACAGTTGTGAACTGCCATGTGGGTGCTGGGAATTGAACCCAGGTCCTTTGGAAGAGCAGACAGCACTCTTAAGCACTGAACCATCTCTCCAGCCCCTGACTTACTGGATTCTTAACTATTGTGTTTTATTTCTTTTGAGTCTTTGAATAAAAATATCTGAAATTAAGAAGAAAATATAATTTGTTTGGGAGTATTTTGGCATCTTCAGTAACAACATTGTGTTAAAATATCTTATTTATTTAAACTGAATTTTCTGTCCCATGATTGGTATTATATATTCCTTTCCAAGTGCAAGGATAATTTGTCATTCTTATTTTTATTTAAGAATCCTATCACCTGGTAGGCAGAGGTAGGTGGAACTCTTGAGTTCAAGGCCAGCCTTGTCTACTGAGCTAGTTCAAGGTCAGCCAAGGCTACACAAAGAAACCCTGTCTTGAAAAATCAAAAAGGAAAAAAGAAAACAACTAAAGTTTAAAAGATTTTTAAAAACATTTTGCCTTTTTTTCTTTTTGCCTCTAATGCTTTTTAAATAAAAAGCCCTATACTATTATCATTTGAGACTGAGTGTCATGTATTCCAGGCTGGCTTCGACCTTATTAGTAGGTGAGGATGACATTGAACTGATCCCTCTGCCTCACTCAGGTGCTAGGCTTACAAATGTATGTACCACATCCAGCTGTACAGTATAGGTTTTTGGAATTACCTGTGTCCTGTTTTATATAACAACTTAAAAATTAACAAATAGACTATAGATCAAAATAAAACCCATCCTCTCAGGATTCAAATATAAAATTACTGTTGTATTGTTTATTATGTTAACAGACTTTAATCCATCAAACCTGTAAGTCACAGACCTCACCGTGCGGAAATATATCATTAAGGAACTGTGGGGTCTTTTGAAAACATTGGAAGACTTACCATGAGTTTAAATACTTCAAGCAATGCCACTGCTGGGGACTCCCAAAGGTAAGCCTCCAGTCTCTTCCTTTAGTTGGAAAATGTTTTTGATTGCAAAAACCAGGGAGAATTAAGGGAGTGATGAAGCTAATTGCAAGGATTCTCATGGGATGGTTTAAGGAAGCAGGTTTCTTGGGACTGAAAGAGCAGCAGCACCTTCTAAATACAGTATTGGCTCTGAGGACCCCTTGTGTTCTTTTGTTAACTGGGATCATAAAGATCTATGTGTCCAAACTCTCTCCTCTCACTAGAGACTTGCTTATTCTCCATAATTTCCAAGTCTCTCCTCTATTTTTCTGCTGGCTATTATAACTCTTCTTGCCATATCCTCTGTAGCGCTGCCTTCTTGCTTGCAGCTCTGACTGGACCACCTAAGCACCTTCCTGTTAGCTCTCCTTGCCAACTGCTTTTCCGAGGTGTCCTTGAGTGCGCATTTCAAGAAGATGTATCTCATTGACATTGTTCCTCTTCTTTGTGCCACACATTTTCTTCTCTCCTTGGTAAGATGCGTTATTTCGTTGATGTCTGATGGATAGGGTCCAGATGGACAGAAAGGACCATTTTGAAGGATGTGATTTTTTTTCTTAAGTGCATTTCTCAAGAAAATAAGTTTAGTAATTGAAAGTAGCTTGTCATGGTGTCTGTTGTCCGTAGTCTTTGCACCCAGGAAGCAGAGGTAGAGAGATTTTTGTGAGTTCAGGTAACCTAGAATATAGAGCAAATTTCAGATTTGCCAGGATTGCATGGTGAGGCCCTGCTCAAATTAATAAAGAACAAAACAGGAAACTAATTGTTAGAACTATAGTCACAGAACAAAGTGATATCAGCAGAATATAAAAATAGAACATTTGGAGTTATAGTCTGTCAGTTGCCTTAAGTAAACTATTTAAAATATATTTTGCAACAGAATCTTTTTTTTTTAATTTTATTTTTTTGTTTTTTTTGAGATAAGGTTTCTCTGTATAACCCTGGCTGTCCTGGAATTAGCTCTGTAGTAGACCAGACTGGCCTCTGATTCAGAGATCTATGTCTCTGTCTCCTAGTTCTGGGATTAAAGCTGAAGCTGGGTAATTCTTCATACTTAGTTTGAGAAGGATTGATAGAGACTATGTATATGTAATCTTACCTCTTAGAATTAATTATGGATAATTATGTAAATATTTGTCCAGACCTTTTCTTATGAAGTGGCAATATATTATATAAATATATTCTTTAAAATTATAATAATATTTCACATTATTTATTATGCTTTATCAATTTAGGGAGGAACCATTAGTTGACATCCATAATATATACATTTAAAATTTTATTTATTATATCTCTGTCTCTCTGCATGAGTAAGCATGTATGTGAGGGTGACTGGGAGGGCCAGAAGAAGTTGTCACACCATTTGGATTGGAGTATAGGCATTGAGTGCTGCGGTGTCAGTGCTGGGATTCAAACAGGTCCTCAGGAAGAGCAGCATGTACTCTTAACTGCTGAGCTGTCTTCTCAGCTGCCACATTTTTTAATGGAGAAATCGTTACTCGGAATTCTAGAATCTGAAGGAAGTTATTTAAACTCTACTTTCTATATCTATAGCTTTGTCATTCTGGATAGTTCATGTCAATGGAATTATGGGTCTTTTTGTGTCTGGCTTCTTTGGGTTTGTTGTTGAAATTTATTACATTGTAGCATGTACAGGCTTTTGTTTCTTCATACTGCTGAATAATAGTCGATCCCTCTGTATGGATTTACTGTATTTACTTATTCGCTAGGCAGTGGGAATTTGCGTTGTTTCTGCTCTTGCTTATTATGAGTAATACAGCGTTAACATATGTTTCTGTTTCTCTTTTTTTAGGCAGGTTTACAGGAGCAGCATTGTTGCATCATATAGCAAATTTATGCTAAACGTTTTAAGTAAACCAAATTGAGTGACTGGATAATTTTAGATTCTTGACAGCAGTATTTGAAGGCTTTAGTTATATAAAGATACCCTTGTCAGAACTTTAAAAAAAATTATTTTATTTTTAAATAGTCATTTTAGTGAATGTAAAATGATAATATGATTATGCATTTAATTTGGATATTTTCAATAATCAATGATGCTCAGCATCTTTACATGTGCCTTAGACCATTTGCATGTCCTCTTTGGTGAAATGTTTCTGCTCTTTAACCATTTTAAAATTTGTTTTTTTATTATTGAACTGTAAGAATTCTTTGTATATTCTGCATAGGTTCTTTGTCAAATCATACAGGCATTTTACCCATTAGGTAAACTGACTTTTCATTTTACTGGTCTCTTTTATGACGGGAGGGTGCTTCTTATGCTGGAGCCCAGGGCCTTGCCTGTGCTAGGAGGTGCACTGCTCCTGAGGTCTGTGCACTCCCTCATTCTCCTGTATTGCAAAGTGCAAATGTTCTTAACTTCTAAGTTCTACTTTTCGGTTCTTTTTCTGTGTGGGTTATGCGTTTCATTTTAGATCCAAGAAATCTCCAGTTAAGGTCAGGGATATTTTTCTCCTATTTTTCTTTCAGGAAGTTCTACAGTTTTATTTTTTTATGTTTGTTCCACTTTGTTAGTTTTTGTGTAAAGTGTGAGGTTAGGGTCTAAATTTATAGATAGCCAGTTTTTTCAGAACATTTGTTGGTAATACTGTTTTTTTTCAGTGAACTATCACAGCAATGCTGTTGAAGATCGCTTGACCATATAAACATGGGCTTTTCAAGACTGTAAATTCTGATAATTAATTAGTTAATTTTTATGGTAATAGGTTCTTCGCACAATATTTTTTTTTCAAACATGCTGTCTGTTCTTAATTAAATACCAGCTTGTCTTGATTGAAATGTGTCAATTTCTTATTGCTGACAAATATTTGAGAGAGAACTTGAAGGAAGAAAAGGCTTATTTGGACTTATGGTTTTGGGACTATAAATGCACATTAGCTACCTCTGCTGCAGCTCTGTGGTGAGGCATAACATCACTGAGTGTGGTGATGGGCTGCTCACTCTGTGGAATCAGAGAGAGGGAAAAGGAGATAATGGGGGACAGGGAGGAAACTGGGACAGTATACGCTTCAAAGGTGTCCTGCCTTCCCTGGTAAGTCCCACTTCTTTCCTGAATACTACTACCAGCTGGGCATAAAACCTTCAAGAAGGAGGCTATGGGAGACTTCATTTCCATTCAGTCCATAATATTGACCTTTCTAGGAAGTTTTGAAAATAGGAAGTGAAAGTCCTCTTATTTGTTAATCAAGACTGTGTTTTTTAAAAAATTTTATTTATTTATTTTTTAATGTACATTGGTGTTTTATCTGCATGTGTAAGGGGGTCAGGTCCCCTGAAACAGGAATTATGAGACAGTTGTGAGCTGCATGTGGGTGCTGGAAATTGAACCCGAGTCCTTTGGAAGAGCAGACAGTGCTCTTAACTGCTGAGCCATCTCTCCAGCCTGACTGTGTTGTTCTGAATCCTTTGCCTTTCCATATACATCTTGGGATCAGCTTGCCAAACTTTGCAGAAGAATATTCTGAGGATTTGATGAATGGTTGTGTTGAATGTGTATATAGAATTGCCACTTTAATAATACTTAATTTTCTGAATGTAAATATGAACCTGGAATGTATTTTCATTTATTTATGCTTTTAATTTCAATAACTTAGTATTTTTAATGGTAAAGATGTAGTACTTGTTTTGTAAATTTATTGTTAAATTTGTCTCCTTTTTACATTATTGCAGATGGAGTTATTTTCTGCTAGTAAATAGAAATATAATTTTATATATCAATCTTGTATTTTTATACCCTTATCTGAAGTAATTTTTAATTCTTTTTTTTCTCATTGGATTTCTTTGATTTTCTTATAAAATCATATCCTTTTTTTATTTAATTTTATTTTATGTGCATTGGTTTGAGGGTATCAGACCACCTTGAACTGGAGTTACAGACAGTTATGAACGCCATGTGAGAGCTGGGAGTTGAACCTGGGTCCTTAGGAAGAGCAGACAGTGCTCTTAACCACTGAGCCATCTCTCCAGCCTTTGAAGTAAAAAAACAAAACAAAACAAAACAAAACAAACTAGATTTCCAGTCTAATACTCATCTCTTTTCCTATCTTTCCATCTCTCTCCCTCTTTCCATCTCTTCTTCCTCTTTGTGTGTTACAATTACAGTAATAGAAATCTATTAAAAAAGAAAGAATCTCACTCTTCCAAAAGCACTCAGCGTTTGCTATGATTGGCGTGTTTAAATATAACTCTTGAACAATATAGTATATTTTTAATGGACAGTATTTTGTTAGTATAGAAAAGTATGACTGTATTTACCCCCAAGTTCTGCAGTGGACACATTTTGCTAGATTGTGAATTTATTATCTTAGGATCATATCATATTCTGTTTTTTAAAATAAGCTATGAGGAATTATGTTAGAATCTTTTTATTGCATGAAATTATATTTTATAATGAACTTGTTTTGTAGATTGAAAAATGCCTCAGTGGATGTAAAACAAATGCTTAAAAATGAAACAGAGTCAGATATCACTGCCGATCTCAGAAAGAAGCTCCATCGGGCTAAGAAGGAGAAACTAGAAATGACAACTAAGCACAATGTAGAGGTAGAATTTATTTTCCTCCCAATTACTGTGAAAAGTCGGGGTTTCAGCTGGGTGTGGTGGCATACACCTTTAGTCCCAGTGGGGGTTAGAGGCAGGTAAATTTCTAAGTTTGAGGCCAGCTTGATCTAAAGAGTTTTAAGACAGCAGGGCTACATAGAGAAACCCTGTCTTGAACTCCTCTGCCCCTAACAAAAAAGGTTGAGTTTCAGTTTTTGGTTTTATTTCATATTAGAAACTACATTTAACCTTTGTTGCTATGTCATTCTTGTGCTTCAAAGTAAATTGCCATAAAGAAAACACTTTTATACAGCAGAATCATATATGGTTGTTAAAGTTGACCTTTAGTCAATTATATTTGTATGTTGCTTTAAGTACATTTTAATTAATTGATTAACTGAAACAGTCTACTTTTCTTTGTGTGTGAGGGTACTTGTGCCGTAGCACTCATGTGGAGGTCAGAGGGTAACTTGTGATACCTTATTTTGCTGGATCATTTTATGTGAGCTTGATACAAGGTAGAGTTATCTGAAAGTTAGAAAATGCCTCTATAAGATCTGGCTGTAGAGCATTTTGTTAATTAGTTATTGATGGGGGGGGCAGCCCATTGTGGGCAGGGTCACTTGTGGGCTGGTGTTCCTAGCAGGCTGAGCAAGCCAGTAAGCAGGACCCCTCTATGGCCTCTACATCAGGTTCCTTCTCTTGGTCCTTGCCCTATTTGACTTCCTTCGATAATGAACAGTATATGGAAGTATGAGGCAAATGAACCCTTTCCTCCACAATTTGTTGTTTGGTCATGGTGTTTCATCACAGCAATAGAAACCCTAATTAAGACAATTTTAACCCCTGTGATACAAGGGGTTAAAACTGAGGTTGTCAGGTATGGCAACAGGCAGCTTTACCAGTTTGAACCATTCTGACAGCCAGATATATTTTAATTAACAGGCGTGACATGACCAAATAAGTACTTGTTGGATGTATTAAATGACTAAAGAATTTATAAATTAGAAAAATGCCATTTTGAGAGCACTCTTGTTCTCTAACTCAGACCTTCCTCAAACTCGGTCCTTCTGCCTCATCTTCCCAAGTGCTGTGATCTTATGTCTATATTATTGTGCATGGCTTAAACCACACACATTTTTTTGAAATTATAATGTATATTTATTTAGGATGTGAGTTGTGGAACGCTTTCCCTTTTAAGAGAAGTCATACATTTTATGTTTTACGTCTCTGCCTTTTGCATTTTCATTTCTGTATTTAAATCTTATTTCCTTTTTGTGTGTGTATGCTAGTGAGATATATTCTCAGGTCTTTTTTTAGTTTTAATATCTTAAAGCACAGGCTTTTTTTGACTTAAATTTTTAGAGTTTTTTTCCTTTGGAGACGGGCTTTCTTTGAGTTGCCATGGTTGTCCTGCACTTGCTTTGTAGACCAAACTTAACTGAATTTACAGAGATCCTCCTGCCTCTGTGCTGGGATTATACGCATGTGCCACTGTGCCCAGCTGCATTTTATTTTTTTAATTGAAAACATTTTTATACAATATATTTTGATCTCTTTTCCCCTCCCCCAACTTCTCCCAGAGCTTCTGAACCTTCCTTCCCACCCAATTCCTTTCCCTTTCTTTTTTTTCTTCATTGCCTCTTATTTTTTTTTTATTAATTACACTTTATTTACTTTGTATCCCCCTCTAGTTCTCTCCCTCCTCTCCTCCCAGCTCCTCCCTTCCTACTTCTTCTCCACGTAAGCTCCCTTTCTTTTTTATCTCTTTAAAAACAGAAACGAAGCTGGGCATGGCAGCACATACCCAGCACTCCAGGAGGCAGAGGCCAGCCTGGTCTGCAGAGTGAGTCTAGGGAAGCCAGGGCTTTGTTACACAGAGAGGCCCTGTCTCATAAAGCCAAAACCCAAACAAACAAAAAACAAAACCCAAAGACATAATACTTTTACTTTTCTTCAAACTATCATAACATTTTATTCTTATTTCTTTTACAAAATTTAATTCATATACTTTTCTGTAGGCCAAGAATTCTATAGCATTTGTTTTCATCTCTTTTGCTTACCACATCACAAGTATTAAGTTTTATTTATTTAGTATAAATAATTTATAAATGATTAATTATATATTCATTGACTGTATCATAATTTTAGAGTGAGAAAGGACATTATAAATTATTACATTCTAGCTTTCTGAGCCATTTCTGTCACAATAGTTAATGGAATGTCACAATTAGATAGCCCTGCAATATTGTTACTTTTCTTATGCTGTCATTGATATTTTAACTAAGAAAAATAACAGTATTCACTAAATTGTACTTTGTTGCCACTTGCTTCTTTTAAACGTTTTATTTTTATGAATGTATATGAGTATGTGTCATGTGCATGGATTACCCTTAGAGGCCAGGGTCTCTTGGAACTGGAGTCCTGGTTGGGGTCCTCTGGAAGGGCAGATGGCACTCTATGCTGTTTTCTTCTTGGGTACATTTAGAAGATAAGAGAACTACATGAACTTCTAAGTGTTCATAATGTGTCATGTGTTTTTGTGGTCTAGGTGTGATTTTGTGATTCACATGTGCATTTTTTTCTTTTGTTTAAGAAGGTTTTCCTCTAGTGGAGTCTCCATAAGGAGTCTTTATCGCCTGGTAAAGCAGTGTTTCTTTCGTAATATTCCAGAAAATGTCAGTTTGTGAATTCTGCTAAACAGAGTGAGCTTTTGCTAAGAAATGTAAATGCTTGACTATGCAGTCTCATCATCTTACAGACATTTTAGTACTAATTCACGGGCCCAGGAATCTGTTCACAGCTGTCAAGCTACGAGAGCCAGATTGCCAGGCTGCGGTCCGAGGTGGAAAAAGGAGAAGCCCTTCGACAGCGTCTTGAGTATGACCTGGCTATTGCTAGAAAGGATGTTGGTCTGGCCAGACGGGCGTCGGAAGAGAGACTGGCCGAGGCACAGAGGATTCAAGAAAGGCTCTGCAGTAAGGCGGCTTCTCCTCTTCCAGCTTTGTTCCACATCCTTTTGGGCTGTTGCATATCCATAATGAATCTCACATAGGGTTTTTACTCCTGGGACAAGTTTGTGTGTTTGTAAACTATTTAAATCCTTTTGGGTCCACATTGGAGATTTAACCCAGTGCTTCATGCATACAAGCAAGCACTCTGTCACTGAATCGGGTTTTCAGCCATAATATTACTTTTTTTGAGCCTTTTTTGGGGTGGGGAAGTGTGTCATGTATCTCAGGATGGCTCAGACTTTCTGTGTAGCTAAAGATGACCTTGAACTTGCTCTGTCTTGCTTTCACCATCTAAGTACTGGGATTACAGATGTGTTCTACTGTTCCTGCTTTATGTAGTGCTAGGATTGACTGAACACAGGACTTTGTGAGTACTAGGCCCATACTCTACCAGCTGAACTGTAACCTCAGGCCAGTTAATATTTTATACTGTTGCATGTATGGAAAAAGAATATAGAAGTCTGCTAGCCGGGGTTTTAGGATTCTTGTTACTTAAGCAATATGCAAAATCAAAAAGGAGATGTGTTTGTGTGAGTGTTCTATATAGGCCCCTTCGAAACATAGATTTGAGTCAAAATTTCTAGCCAGACAGTCTGTATGTTTGAGAAACTCTGTAAGTGACTTTGTTGATCTTGTAGGTTTATATGTCACTGCTTTAGATTGTGTCCCTTTAAAAGAAAAAGGCACCAACCCCTCTGTGATGTAGAATTTAGTTATAAATAAACTGTTATTTAAAGTATAAATAAATGTATACAAAATTATGTAGATTACCATATAACTCAAAGCAAGCATCCAGGTTATGTTATAGAAAGGTACCTAAGTATTATGTTGTATTTATATAATGTTACTCAGCCATTAAAAGGGACCAAGTACTAATATGTGCAGTGAAAAGAATGAATCTTAGAAATAACTCAGTGAAAGAAATTTTTTAGGGGCTGGAGAGATGGCTTAAATGTTAAGAGCACTGGCGGCTCTTCCTGAGGTCCTGAGTTCAATTCCCAGCAACCACATGGTGGCTCACAACCATCTGTAATGAGATCTAGTGCCCTCTTCTGGCTAGCAAGTACACATGCAGAGAGAATGCTGTGTACATAATAAATAAATAAATAAATCTTAAAAAAAGAAAATTTCTATACCTGAGGACATCTTATGTGATTTTTTTTTTTTTTTTTTTGGTATATAAAGTTCTACAATTGCAAAAGCTAATTGTTAGTTAATAAAATCTGTATAGTGGTTGTTTCTGAGGTGAGTAGGCAATAGGAAGAAATATAAGGGAACTTGGGGCTGGAGATGACTCAGAGATTAAGAACACTGCTATTCCAGAGGATCTGGGTTTGATTCCCAGCACCCTAGGGCAGCTCACAACTGTTTGTTAACTCCAGTTAATTTCCAGGGACCCAATACCCTCTTCTAGCTTCTGTAGGCACCGAGCATGCAAGTGGTGTACGTGTGCATATATGCATGTGGGCAAAATACTTACACATAAAAAAATTAATAATATGAGGGAAATTTTTGAGTTAAAGGATTTTAAAAAATGTTTTGATAGTGGCTTGGATAACATGGGGTATGACATTTACATAAGCTAAAAGAAGTGTAACTTAAAAATCTTGCATTTGTAAGATCTTGAATGGTAAAGACTTAGGCATCTCAGTGTATATAAATTTTTACTTAAAATAATAAGGCTGTATTATATCTAGTTTGTGATCATATTAACACCTATTCTGTTGATTTATGTGATGAATTATAGGAGTGAGATGTCCTGATGCTCTCTTTGTGGCAAGTATGATAGAGTGCTGGGTTTAAATGGATGAATGTCTGATAAAGCACATGTAGCATAAATTTCACAGATGTCCAGGGTAGACTGGAGCATTTTAAACATTTTATATATGTTGGTGTTTCGCCTACATGCATGTCTGTGTACCACATGCATATCTGGTTCTTGTTGGGCCTGAAGATGGCATCTGATCCTTAGCTGTCTTTCAAAGAGCATTTTGCTCTGGAATCACTCCCATTTCCTAGCAGAAGATGAAGTGCTTAAAGCTCTTCCTGGGAGCTGGCAGACCCAGGAAGATCATGTATCTAATGCTAAGTGCATAGGAACCATTTACTCCAGTTCTCTTTCCTGCTAGCTTCTCAGCAGCTAGTACCCAGGTCCCCACTCCTCCTGTTGGAATTTGGAGGCCTTTCTTTGTGATTGATCTGACCAAACCAAGAATAAAAATCTGATGATACTGATGGTATGGGTTTCTCAGTAAATGCCACAGTTATATTATCTTCTGGTAAATGACAGTTCTCAGCTGTTACTCACAAGGTCAGAATCTAGGTGATGGGCGTAATCTAGGTCATAGGTGACTAAAGCAGGGGAATTGCCAGCCTGAACACCCCACAGATTTTCACTACTATGGAAATAAATAGACCGACTTGAAGGCACAGTAGGTAGTGTAAAGTTTCAGAAAACAGGAGATTTTAGAGCTTTCAAAGAGGTGAGACCAGAAGAGGCTGACCACAGAGGGCAAGCATCAGGCTGCTTGCCTGGAACACCGATACTGTACCATGAAAAGATGGCAGGGGATTTTTGAATTTTGCATCTTTCATATGAATTATGTAAATCAGAAAGAAATACAATTTTAAAATCCATGCTACTAACATAATCAGCATTTTCATTTGTTTAACAATTATGTTTATGTTTCTTTCCACTAAAATTTACTGAGGAGGTGTTTTCATTCCTCCTGTGGACAGGGAACCAGAGAGATTTGACCAGCAGTTGGAAAAGGCATACCGGAAGCCATGCCCTTTCTGCAGGGGTGGTAGTAAGAGGTTTTGCTCGCTGCTAGGGATATAGGGTCAGTGATCTATGGTGGGGTCAGGTGTGTTACAGCCTCAGGCTCCTGACTTTCTTACAGCTAAGGTGTGACACCATTAGCATGTTCTAACAACAAGACACCAAGAACTGTAATCTTGAGTTTTAAAAAAGTAGCTTAAGGGGGCAGGAGAGATGGTTTAGGGGTTAAGCGTACTTGTTGCTCTTATTGATTACCAGAAAGCTCACAATCATATGTATCCAGTTAGAGGGGATCTGATGCCCTCTTCTAATCTCTGAGGGCATCAGACACACGTGATAAACATGTACATGCAGGCAAATGACATAAAAAAACTTAGAGAAAAAAATAAAGCAGCTCTAGATGTCATGGTCTGTAAAAGATAACTATGGGGCTGCAGTGATGGCTTGGAATGGAAAAGTTTCTCTCAAGCATGGGTTCAAACACCCAGCACCGACATAAAAATCCAGCATGGCCACAATACGTATGTAGCTCCAAATACTTTGTTCCAAGGATCATGTTGTAAATAAAGTTGGCTCCAGTGTTGTAGGGATCATGTGGGCTTACAGCCACTTGAGTGAGAGACCAGTTTGAGTGAGAGACACTTTTGGAGAAATATGATGGAGAGTGACAGAGCAGGGCAGCTGACATCTTTCTAAGGCTTTTCCACAGACCATGCGCTCAAACAAACATAATCACTCACATATACACAAAATAAAGTAATAAAATAGTCCTAATTAAAGCCTTGCTCAAAAAAGACAAACACATTTAGTCTGTTTTCTTTTAAAAACTTATTGTGGTGTGATGTACACGTGCGCGCACTTGTGTGTGTATGCATACGTGTGTCTGTGAGTGGGTGTGTGTGAGAGATGGGATGCATGGGGAGGTTAGAAAATAACCTTTTCAGAGTTTGTTCTGTTCTTCTATTGTGGAATCCGGGAAACTGAGGTCATCAGGCTTCTGAGGCTAGTGATTTGTCCCATTGAGCTAGCTATTTGCAGGCACAGATATATTTACTTATATATGTATAGATGCCTTTCTTTAAAAATTTTCTTTTGAGACAGGATTTCTCTGTGTAGCCCCTGCTGTCCTGGATCTCTGTAGACTAGGTTAACCTGGAACTGAGAGATCTGCCTGCCTCCTGAGTTTTGGGATTAAAGGTGTGCGCCATCACACTGGGCCAGATTTGTTTTCATGAACAGAAGAAAACCATTAGCACTAGGTGCAGCTGGTGTTAGAGGTGTACCAAACATGGGCATGCTTTCAAGAACATGACATATTGGCCCATAGCAAAATCATCTCCATTTGAAGAAAGGAAGAGAGTGAAAAATCAAAAAGTAGTACAGGCACAGTGAGTTCTTCTAGAGTTTACTGAAGGGAGAAAGTTAAATATTTTGCCCTAAAGATCATGTTGTAAAATAAAGTCAGCTCCATTGGTTAGTTCCTTAGACTCTTAATGAATTAATTTGTGGTTATAAATATATTAATAATTCTATGTTTTTAATAGCTCAGAATTCAGAACTTCAACGAAAGGCAAATGAGATTGAGAAAACTCTTCAGACTTCCCAAGAGAAATGGAAAGAAGAATGCAGAAAATTTGAACATGATTTGGAGGAAAGAGACAATATAATTCAAAGTTGCAATCGAGAATATGAGTTACTTATGCAGGAAAAAAGCAGGCTGCAAAAAACTCTGCAGGTACAATACTTACATAATGAAAGTTTCTTCAAATAATATCCATTGAGATATTGTATCAAACTACTCTTGGGTTTCCTTTTTTTCCCATTTAGAGGCATTTTCACATATCTCCTGTGCTGTGTTTTAGGATTGTATTAATATGTGTACTGTTTATTTTGTGAAAAGCACTTGAGATCTCTGATATCAGTGGTAGAGTCATTGCCTTGACTGTCTGAGGTTGTGGTTTGATCCCCAGCACCACAAATAAATGGCAGAAAAACAACAAACACTAAATGAACAAAGGGTAAACATGATAACAAAAAGAAAGCAGCAACTACTTGTTTGGATATACTGTAAAAATTAAGAGACATATCCCTTTTGATCTAGTAACAATATGTGGAATTTAAAAAATGTGGGTTCTAGTTTTTAGTTTGAATATGCAAGAAATACAGAAAATTAGGTGTTTTATAGTGTCTTATTATTAGAGTATATTCTGTGATGACTTGTGAAATGCAAAACATAAAATTTTTACTAAGGTTATTGTCAGATGCATATTTTCATATATATATATATTTACTTATTTACTTATTTATTTATTTATTTATTTATTTATTTATTTATTTATTTATTTATTTATTTATTTATTTTCTCCTTGCAGTAGAAGTGGGGCTAGGGTTGAAGTTGACAAGCATATGGAATTGAATATATGATTTTGAAGTATTTATATATTTGTATGTTTTGTTTTTGCTTTTGTTTTTTTGAACAGGGTTTCTCTGTGTAACCCTGATGGTCCTAGAAAATTTACTCTCTAGACCAGGTTGGCCTTGAACTCACAGAGTTCTGTCTGCCTCTGTCTCCTGAATGCTGGGCTTAAAAATGTCCACTACCACCGCCTGGCTGTAATAGTTTAAATTTTTTAAAAAAGAAAAGAAAAATGTGAAAATGTTCCATATTTACCTTAAGTATACATTGTTCTTTTGCATTGCTGCATCCTTGCATGGTCTCAGGATGTGACCTGATCGGGAGGCAACAGACTGAAGAAAGGACAAACAAAGGGACAAAGGACAGAACAGCTGGTATTGGGTGTTCTGGGCTGTCTGATGGAGAAGCCCTAGTGTCCTGGAAGCTTAGCATGTTTATTACTACAGCTAGACAAGGAGTTGGGTTACTATAATCATCTAAATAAAGAGGGAAGAGTTACTACAGTCAGCTAAACAAGGAGGCAGCATTATGGTGTACAGGTGAGCAAGGAGGTAGGAGGTAGGAACAGTCTACAGGTCATAAACATCTGAGGAGAAAGCTATGGTGGACGTTTTCTGCACACACTATAACATTTGCACTGGGGCCCCGGGAAGGTTCTGCATTCTTCTAAGCCTTACGTGGGGCAGGCTTTGCTTGGGCATTCGTTCTTGACATGGCTTTGCATGCCAAACAGCACACATTAGCATCATCACTGAAAAATGGTTTTCTAAAACATTTAGTAAATGTAGAAGTTTTGTTACAAGTATCTCTAGGTCTACTTTTTATTTTCTACCTATCAATAATCCTGGCTTGTCTCTTGGTTACTGGCACATCGCTGTATCCTGGTGTTTTTGAATGGTGGATGTGTAAGTATGGTTAGTCTGTAAGTCCTTGGTGGACATGTGCTACATTTCCTGCATACAATGTAACACTAGGAGGAAGAAAGGATGATGGTGGCAGTATTTCTTACATCAATTCTCCTGTACCTTAAGGTATGAAATCTTGACATGGTCTTGTCAGCTACTTAGGGTGTCTTTGCTTTGAGTTTGCTCTGGTCTTGGAGCTCCCTGCACTGAGATCCTTAGAGGAGTCTGGGGCTGAATAGGAATCACTTTTTAGTTGTGGGGTAGAGGAAGCCTCAGGCTCTTGTGGCTTTTTGCTACTGAAAATTATGGGGGTAATATTTACAAAACAGATCCATGTAATTAGATCCCCTTTTCCTCACATAAACCACAGACCTTCTCTCCTCATGTTAATGACTTCATTTTAAACCTGTAGGTTAGAAAATTGATCTTCATAGGAAACCTGTGTTTTGTATTAAGGGTTTGAACATAATTAGATCTTATAAATGTGGTATACTTAGGAAAATTAAAAAGGAAAAGCTTTTGAAACTATTCTTTATCTTTAGAACTAAAATTAGTTATAGTCCGAATTGAACATATGTGTTTTCAAAGTTATAACATTTAGGAATTTTTAAATTATGTTTTGTTGAACAGCAGTTTTTCTCTTCTTTTATGTATACACATATGTGTACACACACACACACACACACACACACACACACACACACACACACACACGTATATGTATATATATTGGCCAGGCAGTGGTGGCACACTTCTTGAATCCTAGTATTTGGGAGGCAAAGACAGATGGGTTTGTGGCCAGTCTGGTCTACAGAGTTTCAGGACAGCCAGGTCTCCCCAGAGAAACCCTGTCTCAAAAAACAAAAAAAAAAAAACAAAAAAAAAAAAAAAAAAGGAAAGAAATACTGTTGTAGAAAATAAAAATTATGAGTGTTGGGCTAAATTATTTATTATTAGCTCAATAATTATTGCAGTGGTATTTTCTAACCCACTATCACAAATAATAAGACACAGACACCTGTTAGATTTTTATAATTGCCTCATTTACCTTGGGTCGGGAAGATATTTCACCTAAACTGGGTTAGTAACCTTACCATCCATCTCCCAGCCCCCATCCAATGCCATCTGCCTTAATCATCCTCATCTGGTCTACTTTCATTCCAGAATCCCAATATACTTGATTATATTTTTCATCTTGTTGTTTTTTTACATCCATGCCATCCTCAGAGTCCTTCCTCCTTGCCCATGTGGTTCCTTCTCCACCTAACCCATTGTGGCATCCTCCTTCCTCCTTTCTTCCAGTCCACCTGTTTCTTATGATTCTCCGGTCCTCCAAGCCCAGGAACCTTAGCCATGACTACCCCATTTTGTCCTGTCCAGGAATAGGCCTTTAATCAACCAATCAGGTAAAATGTTTTAGGCAGGTTTATAAAATAAGGATAGGTGGAACCAAATCTTGAAATCCAGTAATTAGCATTAAAATAAAGCAGCAGAACAACCCCCAACAAAATACCTTTTTTCTTGGCCAGGTTTGCACATAAATTTTAAGGATAATCCAGTTTACTCACAGGTAAAGATGTCCATACTAACTGGAATTTATTTTTGTTTCTTTCATTTGTCCCAACCTCAGATGTTAAATTGCTCAGATTTATATTCTGATAATAAAAATAATAGTTTTATTAAGATTTTAAACTTGCTATTTTTTGAGACGGAGTTTCATGTGTCCTTGGCTGGCCTTGAACTCTCAGTATAAACAAGGATGATCATGAGCTTCTGACTTTTCCGCCTCCAGCACCCAAGTCCTGAGACTGTGTGCACAAGCATGCCTGGTGTTATGCACAGCTGGGCATTGAATCCAGGGCTTGCAGCATGCTAAGGAACTAGTAGCTATTTCCCCAACCCCAAGATTTTAACATGGATTAAAAGTTTTTAGTGGTCTGTTGGGTGGAGAGCCCTTTATTCATTTAAACTAGGGTTAAAAGATTGCGAATAATCTTTATTGATGTGTCAGTAAAGCAAGATTTTATTCACATAAAGGAAGCCCTGGAAAAACATGAGAAAGAGAAGAATGAGATGGAGTCTCACGTCAGGGAGATGGCCTTGGAGGAGTTTAGATTACAAGCAGAGCAATGGGAAGCTGAACGAAGAGAGTTACAGCTTATAGTACAGGTATTCTAAAAAACAATTCCATTTCTAAAATATGTTTCTTGGTGCTTATGATACTAAAATTTTCTTAAAGACAATCTACTAGCTCATTCGCTTAAAAAGCAATTCCAAGTCTTTGACATCTGGAAGGCCACATTTCACATTTCATTTGACATGACAGTAGGGCAGCAGTTGCAAATATTGCAGTTGGATGGCTTCATTGCCATAGGGAATGTGATTTATAGATTGTATTTCCTTGTTGTTGAGACAGGCTCTCATGTGGACAGGCTGGGTTCAGAATTGATGCATGTCTCTCGTTATGCCTGAGCTCCCCTGATTCTCATGCTCCCACCTCATGAGAGCTGGGATTATGGGTATGAGCTACTATGCTTACCTAAAGTATGTGATTTTTATTAACTTTTATTAGGATACATTAATTATACATAATAGCGGGTCTGTTATTACGGCATTTTTTACATGTGTATATATCATGTCTACTCTCATTACCTTTTCTTCTTCCCAACAGTTCCCTTTCTCCTTTCCTGTATTTTGGTGGGTGACCTATTGTATTTATTTATGGTTGCCATAGGAGCATGGATGGGTGTTATTTTGAAGGAGATTGGGCAGCGCAGAAGTGGCCTTACCACAGAGGAGAATGTCTCCTTCCCCTGGAACCATGAACTGCCTATGGGTGCTTAGAGAGGGGTGGGCCTGTATGAGGGCCTCCTTCTAGCATCCATGAACTGCCTACAAATTCTTAGGGGTGGATGTGGCCTCAAGAACCCCTTCCCCTCTCCATGACAGTTTGTTGACAGGTCAGATATTTTGCAGTTCTTATGCCAGTAATGGTAGCTGTTGAGAGGGAGACAACCAACCACTGGCACTTCAGTTTTCATTTAATAACTCTGTGGCTTTTGAGAGTGGCTTTTTCCATCCATAAAGGGAACCTCCATTTGACACCCCTGCTTCTGCCTCCCAAGTACTGGGATTAAAGGCATGTGTCACTACCGCCCAGCTGCTGAATAGAATTTGTGTATAAATTTGTGTATAAATAGAATTTGTGTATCATCATCAGTTGGTCTGTGATGATTCTGTTTCCTTGCTATTGTGAAGAGAGTAGCAGTAAGTATGGATGTACAGGTATCTCTGTGGTAGGATATAGATTCCTTTGGGTACATGCTCAGGAGTCATACGGTAGTTTACTTTTAGCTTTTAGAGAAACTTCCGTAGGGATTTCCATAGTGGCCACACAAGTTTGTTCTACCATCAGCCATGAATAGGGGTTTCCCTTTTCCACACATTGAAGGCCACCATTTGCCATCTGTCATCTCTTGATGATGGACGTTATGATTAAGGTAAGATGCTATCTTTTTTGGGGGTTGGAGGCTGGTTTGAAACAGGGTATTTCTGTGTAGCCTTGGCTGTCCCGGACTTGCTTTTATAGACCAGGCTGGTCTTAAACTCACAGCAGTTCACCTGCTTCTGCTTCCCTGAGTGCTGGGACTACAGGCATGCACCACTGTGCATGTGCCTTTTTATTTTATTTTATTTTATTTTGGTTTCTCTCATTCTTTTTTTTTTTAATTTATTTATTTTTATGTGCATTTAGGTTTTGGCATGCATATATGTCTGTGTGAGTGAGTTGAATCCACTGGAATTTGAGTTATAGACCAGACAGTTGTGAGCTGCCATGTGGGTGCTGGGAATTGAACCAGGGTCCTCTGGAAGAGCATCAATGCTGTTAACCACTGAACCATCTCTCCAGCACCCTGGTTTCTCTCATTCTTTAGGAGATCTCTTCACACAACTAACTGTTCTTTTGTTGAACAGAACCTTTTTAATTTCTTGAGATCAATTTTTCAGCAGTTGTCTTTCTTTCATTAGTGGCTAGAACCCTCTCAGAAAGTTCTCACATGCTCGTTTCTGGACTGTTTCCTCCTAGCAGTTTCAGAGTTTCAGGTTGTGTTAGGTCTTTGATCCTGTTGGTTTTGTGCAGATTGAGGGATGAGGATCTAGTTTTATTTTTCTGTGTGTAGATAGCTGTCTTTCTCAGTAACTTTTGTTAATGAGGAGGTCTTTCCCAATGATTATTTGAGGCATCTTTGTCAAAACCAGGTGTCTGTAGATGTGAAGATCACCTATGCTGTCCCTTTTAAGTACATGCCTGTTTTTGTATTTTACCATGCTGTTTTTGTTATTATCTCTCTGTCATATAGCTTTAACTTCGTTTTGGTGATACTTCTAGCCTTATTTTTTACCCCTTACAATTGCTTTGGCTAACCACGGTCTTTTGTGTTTTCAAATCAATTGTAAAATTGTTTTTTCTATTTCTGTGATGAATGGTGTTTGGATTCTGATAGGGACTGAGTTGAATCTGTAGGCTGCTTTTGATAGACACTGTTAAAATATCCATTCTTTGAATATATGAGGATGGAAGACGTTTTTATTTTCTTGTCTTTTTAAAATTTCATATTTTAAAGTTTTCATTAAGGTATCTTTCACTTTCACGGGTGTTTTTATATATAAATTATAAATATATATATAATTTTTTTTTTTAATTTGAGACAGGGTTTCTCTGTGTAGTCCTGGCTGTCTTGGAACTCAGAGATCTGCCTCCTGAGTATTGGGATTAAAGTCATGCACCACCACTGACTGGCATATTTTTTATTTTTCATTTTGGTAATTGTGAATGGGATTGTTCTTCTGAATTCTTCTGCTTTCACTTAACACTTATCTATTTATTTATTTATTTATTTATTTATTTATCTATCTATCTATCTTTATTTATTTATTTAACATGTGTATGCATGTGAGTGCATTTGTGAAGATCAAACTATGATTTTTCCTTTTTCTACCATGTGGATTGTAAGGGATTGAACTCAGTTTATCAGACTTGGCAGCAAACACCTCTATCTGCTGAACTATCTTGCTGGTCCCTTTCTCTTCAGCATGCTTCAGGTGTTGATTAAGCTTGTAGGAAGGCCATTGTGTATGTGTGTGTTAATTTTTATACTGCTACTTGGCTATATGTGTTATGTATTTATTAGTTCTTGGAGTTTTCAAGTGGAGTCTTTTTTTTTTTTTTTTTTTTAAGCTAGGCCTTATTGTCTCACTGTGTAGCTCCTGCTGGCCTGGAATTTTAGATGTACAATTAGACTGTTCTTGAACTCACAGAGATCTGCCAAGCTCTGCTTTTAGAATTCTGAAATTAGGGGATAAAGAGATGGCTCAGTGGTTAACAGCATTGTCTGCTCTTCCAAAGGACCTGGGTTCGATTTCCAGCACCCACATGGCAGCTTACAGCTGTCTGTAACTCCAGTTCCAAGGGATCCGACACATTCACACTAATGCACATAAAATAAAATTTATAAAAAAAGAAAAATATCTGGAATTAAAGACATGTGCGACCATGCCTAGCCTCTGGTGTAGTCTTTATGATGGATAGAATAATATAATCTTAAAGTAAGGATGCTGTGACTTCTTGCTCTCTTAATTGTATCCCTTTATTTGCTTCTTTTCTATTTATGTAGCAAAGACTTCTAGTAATATATTAATAAAATTGTTGAAACTAGACACTCTCGCTTTTAAATTTTAGTGGAAATGTTTTGAGTTGTCTTGATTTAGTATATTAGCAATAGGGTTGTCATATGCAGCTTTTCTTATATTGTTATGTATTCCTTCTATCCCCAGTTTGTTCAGATCTTGTTAAACCAAATAAAAATTTTAAACATAATAAAAGTTTTAGACATTTATTTTGTGTGTGTGTGAGAGACAGAGACAGGCACATACATACACAGAGACAGAGAGAGAGACAGAGACAGACAGAGGAGAACTTGCATGAGTCAAGCCTCTGTACTATCCAGATTGTGGATCATTACACTTGTTGGCAAGTACTGTTACTTGGGCAGCCATTTCACTACCCCACTTGGAGCTTTTATAATAAAAGATGCTGTATTGTGTCAAAAGCCATTTCTATGTCCATTTAGATGATCATGGGATTTCTATCTTCGAGCCCATTTATGTGATTTATTACATTCATAGATTTACATATGGAATTTTATGTGGCCTGAGCCTCACAAGCCTTTTGTGTGCTGTCACAACTACCTTGAGTTTCTTTTTTTTTTTTAAGCATCTTTTTTTTCCAGTTTTTTTATTATTTTTTTCTTATCAGTTACATTTTATTAACTCTGTGTCCCAGCCATGTCCCGATCCCTCATTCCCTACCTTGAGTTTCTATGTTCATATGTACAGCTGTCCTGTGTCTGGAAAATGCTTTTTCTTGTACTCATCCATTGCTTCTGGCTTTTATAATCTTTCTCATCCTTTTTCCTATGATTCTGAGCCTTCAGAATTATCTGCTCACCCATGTTCATTGCTGCTCTAGTCACCATATACATGAAATGGAAACAGCCTAAATGTTCAACTGATGAATGAACAATGAAATTGTGGCATATTTACACAATGGAGTTATTATTCAACTGTTAGGAAAAATGAAATTTGTGGACAACTGGATGGAGCTGGAAACAGCCATTCTGAGTAAAGTAACTCAGACCCAGAAAGACAAACATCACATTTTCTCTCATATACTGGATGCTAGCTTTGACTTTTGGATGTGTATATTTCATTTGGAAACACAGAAAGGTCAGGAAATCAGTAAGGAGCCATGGAGGGAGAGGAAGAGGAGGGGGGAGGGGGAGGTATAAGGGAGGGGCATAGGAGGAGAAGAGGCGAGAAGAGGAAAGAACTGGTTTGGCCAGACATACCTATTGGTATACTAGTGGCTGCTAACATCATGAGACTTTTTGTTTTGCTTTAAGATGCCTTATCCAAAGATAGCCTACTACTTTTATGCTGCTACATAGATATAGTATTAAACTGGGTCCTAATGACTTATTGCTATACCCATAGATTAATACACTCATTAACCCTCATCATAGAAACTTTTATCTGTGGTACACAGTGATTAACCTAGAGACCCACAGCTGATCTAGGTGTAGAGAGAAAGACTGTAAGATGATCAGCCT